GAAAAAATGCCTGTTATTGCTTATTTAAGAGGATGTTGCTGTTATATTGTCTTAAAGAAAATTAAATGCGATACATGTAAGAATAATTTAACATTTTCAGACAACATTGATATTGAACAAAATTCACTTATAAAGAACGTTCCTAGAGGCAGTCTTAGGTTTCCAAAAGATGAAATTAATAACTGATACAGTTTTATTTGAATTATAATTTTTAGCAAAGTTTTGCAAAGTCATGAGGAGTATTTCAGAATTCACAATAAAAAAATATTTTTATCAAAAATAATTTTGGATTACATTAAAAGTAATTTAAAATTATTGCACTTTCCGCATAGTTGGTACTTTATCATCCTGATGTTATTATGAAAATTGTCGTAAATAATTCTATTACAAATACACGTCTGAAAAACTACTGTGGTAAAAAAAATTATAGACTTGGAAAAAGAAATAAAAGAAAGTTACAGCATAAATAAATACAATAACGATGCATAATTTATGATTAATTATTTATTAAAAATTCGATGCAATTTTAAAGCCATTATATACGTATAAAGAGTATCAAATTAAATGCAATCAAAGTTTATGCCTCCAGTTGATGACGTCACGAATAAGCTGTCCGGCCTTGTTATTTCGTCGGTGCCAGGAGAATGCACTAAGTCTATAGAATATTATATAAAAAATATGTTGAGAACTTAACTTTAAATTTTCTATGGTAATATAATTAATGGGTATACAATTTATCCTATTCAAGTAGAAATATAGTTTAGGTATAAATCTATTTATCTATCCCTAAACATATTTTTACTAAAGTAAAATGTTTTAAATTTAAACAAAAAACAAAATAAAATAAAACATTCTATTACGTCAAAACAGGAATCAATAAGAGATGTATTTTAAAGACGCTTTACATCAGAGAAATCTTCCTTTACACTGTGTCCTATTTCCTGAATTTAGACGAATGTTAGAAGAACTTTGAGAAGCTTTATTAATAAATGAAAGAAAACTCCTTTTATGCTAATCGAAAAGAAAAATTCTTGCAGTGGAAAATAATTTCCTTTGAAATTCATTGCTATAAAATTGTATATAATAACATTTAAATTAATAGTGATATTTTGTTTTATTAATTAAAAGTTACTTGATATTCAATTTAAACACACTAAAAAAATGTATTCGCTTCAATATCCTAACTAGTATTTAAAAATAAAAACCTGTAAAGTACATTGCGTGCAAGTTTACGACAATGAAAAGTTATAATCAAACGTGTATCACAATCGACAAAATTATGGAGCAGTTTATTTTTAACAACCAAAAAGAAAAAGTGTACAATATTTATATGAACATACTTATATTTGAAAAAATATAAATAATTTTTCTATACTTTAATACTTATATAATACTAATTTCTATACTTTTAACTTTAAAATGGAATTGGTAAACAAGCCCCATTTTAGTAAAATATAATAAAATTTTTTTTAGGCTACTATTGATTTCAAAAGATAAACCTCCTGAATATTTTCAATGCACGCAAGTTAATGATGAAAAGCCTATTTGCATCACAATCAGAGACTCTTTATTTCCTCCTTTATGTCCGTTTAGAATACATAAGCAAGTTTTCAAAACATTTATTAGAATGGAATAAAAGACGGAATAGTTTAAATTGGGTACATAAACTTGCATATATGCTAGATTCGGACTTTTACTGATTCATTATTTTTATTTTGTTTATGGAAGATTTATATAACAAGCCATATACAATATACTTGCACGAAAATTCATTCGCTTGAGTACTCGATTATTGAAATAACCGACATCGCTCGATTATGAACGAGCGATGCAAGTGACGAGTACCAACCGATCCTAGAATGAAATAAATTGAAATCCGATTTTAATGTGACATACTCGATAAAAAGCCGAGCGAATTTTCTACATACATTGCAGTTAGCAAATTTATACGACGCCGTATATATTTTTATCCGTTGCGTATCTGAGGGACAAAATTTTACGACCTACATCGACAATGCTTTGAAATAAACTAAATCAAGCGACCAAGCGAATCGCTTGCCGCTTGCTACTTGCCATTCATCACTGCGCACGCAACTTACTGCTTGGCGCTTGGCATTAACGAGTACTTACAACAAGCGACGGGTGAAAAACCGATCACTCGGTTATTGCAATCGCTTGAAACTCGAGTACTCGATTATTGGAATTAATCGGTTTTTTTCCATCACTATTTATTATAGTTCATCAAATGATGTATTATAGTATATCAAATAAACATTTAGTCACGTGATTAAGCTAAACCGGCAAAGCGTCGCCCACTTTCACATAGTTCCTTTTAATAAAAATATTTTAGGAAACAAAAATAAATTAATTATAAATATAAAAACAGTTATTATTTGCATCAACAAAACCCACCTTCTTAACTGCACTTAATAGACATAAGGGCCATTACTACCGCTTTCCCGTTCAAAGTATTCTAATAAAGTTGCAATGAGTTTTACGGCTATTAAGCTATATTGTACCACCTTGCACTAAAAGAGGTTCTAAAAGAACAATGTTCGACTAGAAGGTCTACTAGTAAACATTTTTAAGCTTAAATAAGTATCACAACACTATTTATTTATACCACAAACTCGTAATATACAAAACTAAAGTGTCAAGACGAATGACAATGTCAGGAAATATATAAATAAATGTGGCAACTTGATATTTTTTACAGCAGAGCTACCAAATGAATCCCCAGCGGGAAATTTAAATTCCAGTTAGACAGCCCGGCGCTGAATAGGTCCATGGTTGGCAACAATGAATTTGAAAATTGCGCCCTCGATTATGTAACTAAAAGTTTAATTCGTATCATATATACAGGGTAGTCCAAACTGTATTCCGGAAACTTCGGCAGCATATTCTGCAGATAAAAATAAGTAAAAAAGTTTGTATAAATGTGTGTCCTAAAATGCTTAGTTTCGAAGATACAGGGTGTAGAAGTTTCATTTTTATTTCGATTTTTTCCAAATAATTTCTGAAGTACCGTCAATATTTGGATGAAAATTGGCGTTTGGGAGGTTTTTTGACATGAGAAATTTGATTTTGATGTCAATATGACTCCTACTTGTAGAGGGCGTCATCTACATGTGTTTTAACTGTTTTGGAGAGTAATAACTTTTCGTCCGTACCTGCATAAAACTACTGAGTAAAAAAATATACATTTCCGTAATTTTTTACGTAAAAAATGTCTCTAGGTAAAAGGATTTTTACTAAGAGACATTTTTTACGTAAAAAACTTTGTAAATGCATATTTTTTTACTCAGTTGTTTTATACAAGTACGGACGAAAAGTCATTACGTTTCATACGGGTTCGGACTCCGAAAAAAACATTATGTAGATGGCGCCCTCTACAAGTAGGAGTCATATTGACAGGAAAATAAAATTTGCCGTGTCAAAAAACTCCCAGACACCAATTTTAATCCAAATATTTACGTTACTTCAGAAATTATTTCGAAAAAATCGAAATAAAATTGTAACTTCTACACCTTGTATCTCCAAAACTAAGCATTTTAGGACATACATTTATACGAATTTTTTTACTTATTTTTATCTGCAAAATATGCTGTCGAAGTTTCCGGAACACAGTTCGGACCACCCTGTATATTTCACCATTAATACATATCTCTCTAAAGCTGATAAACCCTAAACAATCAATTTAAGAACATAAAAATACACTTTTCACTCTTTAACTTTTATTCGACTAGCACTAAATTTAAGAGATGGTTCTGCTTAAACTTTATTTACGAAACTTGTCATAAAACTATAATAAAGTTTCAGTTTTAGACAGATTACAACTTTATCCCAATAAAAGACGGCATTGCCCTTAAACATAGCTTATCTTATACTTCATTTTAGCAATAGCAGGTGTCTATTTAGCTTTGCTGTTAATTTGAAGGCGTAAATTCACTTTACTTATAAATCTTATTTCAAATTAATTTTGTAAATAGATAGGCACTTCTTTATTAAATCAATATAATATAATTTAAATCGTTTTTCTTATTTAAGTCTATATTTTTTATTTAAATCATAATGATCTGCGTGTTAAGTTAGCCGTTGTTTCTTAGGTTCAATCTATACTGACATGTTCAGTATACTGACATGTTTATTGAGAACATAGTGTCCTGTTAAAAACCACTTGGCAATCCGAAGATTGTTCTTACTTAAATCAAGAAGAATCTTTGATTTTATTTCGGTTACAAATTCTGAGAAATTTCTTCCAGTGTTTTAGACCGTTGCGTTGGAGGATTTATTAATTATTTATTAGGAATTACTATATATTATATAGGAATTATATTATTCGTTTAGGAATATTATATATAGGAATTATATTATTCACTTAATTCCAAAATACGTAATAGTTGTATATTTTATGAAACCTGTATATTTTATGTAAATAACACTTTACCTACAACTTTTAAACGGAATATTATTTATACATTAATAACTTTCATCTTAGACAACATGTTTATACGCATATAATATGAAGATGTCTTAAAAGCTTTTATAATTGCATTTTCTCACATTACCCAATAAAGTTGTTTTCACTGTCTTTCACAACGTTTAAGAGGAAATTAATTTTAAAGTTTTTTTGCTTGAGAAAATTGCTGCTTCCTCTTGATAAAGTTTGTTCGACGACATCGATCAAAGATAATATCGGATGAATCACCAATTTTCCATGAAAACATTTGAAATTGTTTTAGATATTATCAGTATAAAAAAACAAGGTAAAAAATAAATTTGTTAATAAATTAAAACCAAAATAATTTTTTTTTAAATGATTTTAAAAAATTGTTAAAACACTGTCTAACTTATATTAGATGCATTGCTCAACAGAATTCTAAACATTCAAATATTAAGACAACAGATTTATTAGAGCCAAAACATGAAGACCAGCAACGTGTGGTGTCAAACAGATGTATGTATAAAGTTGGTATTAATTTTTTTATTCTTTATTTCAGAATTGGACTCTAAAGACACAAATTCTAGTTCAGCAAGGACGATAACAATCCGATCTAACGGTACTACAAAAAGCGAAGAAAACAAAGACGACGTAAAGAGCGAAGAACAGGCGGCGACGAAAATACAAGCAGTTTTTCGGTAAGAGAATGAAATTGAATTAAAATTACTATCTAACAAAAGCAATAGTAATGAAAGAGCATTCAACAGATATTATTTAAGCAAAATTCAATGCCTTCATATATATATATATATATATATATATATATATATATATATATATATATATATATATATATATATATATATATATATATATATATATATATATATATATTATATATATATATATATAGCATATATATAGCATATATATATATATATATATATATATATATATATATATATATATATATATATATATATATATATATATATATATATATATATATATATATATATATATATATATATATATATATATATATATATATATACATTAATCGGTTTAAAAGGTTCTACGTCTTCCGATGCTCCATGTCTATCTGTCTCTCCATGCACCGTCTCCGAGAGATCTTTCCTCCGTAAACGTGTCAATCCCTTCCTGCCAACTTCTTCTCGATCTACCCGGTTTTCTTCTTCCTGCAGGTTTCCAGTTTATAATTTGCTTTTTGATTATTATTTCTGCCATTCTTTGGACATGCCCGTGCCATATGGGTTGACTGTTCTTTATCTCGTCCACTATTGTATGTTTAACTTCCATAATCTCTCTTATGCGTTTGTTAGTTATTCATTGAGTCTTGATTTGCCTGCTGCTCTTCCCCAAAGATCCATCTCTGTAGCTTCCAGCATTCGTTTTGTTGTTTCCTTAATTGGCTACACTTCACAGCTGTACGTGATTATACTCTTGATGATGGTATTATATTAGTGTTATGTTTCTGTTATTTATGCTTCTGTCCCACAGTATCCCATTTAATACCGTGATAGCATTCCTGCCAAGTTGGTTTCGTTCTTTAATTGCTGTATCCAACAGTCTATCATTTTTGATTTGCATACCCAAATATTTGTATTTTGTGTAGCACTTAATTTTCTTCCCTTCTAGTATCTGTTCTCCTCCGATAGACATATATTCTGTTTTGTTAGTATTGATCTCGAGTCTCCATTTCTGATATTCTTCTATAAGCTTACGTGTCATATAATTTATGTCATCGTAATATTGTGCTATGAGTACCTTATCGTCCGCGAAGCAAAGTGTGTAGAGCATATTATCCCCTATGGGTACTCCCATATTTCTACCATATTTTTGCTTCCAACCTTTGAGAACTTGTTCGAGATAGATTTAGATAGCTCTTTTTACTTATTACTTGAGTGAGTGTAAATAAGTGGTCCACCGTCGATCTACCGGCTCTAAATCCTGCTTGTTCTTCGGCTTCTATTTCTTGGTATCCGTTTTCGATTCTATTTCTCAAAATTTTTCTATATATTCTACTCACGATGGCTCTTACTGATATTCCCCTGTAGTTTTAGCACTTAGTACGATCTCCCTTTTTGTATATGGTTGTAGGTAAGCCTCATTCCATTCTTGTGGTACATCCGTTCCGTTTATGCAGTCCTGGAATATTTTCCTTTAAGTGTTCGTACAGTTTTTTCGGTCCTGATTTAATTAACTCTGCCGGTATATTTCCCGGTCCGGGTGCTTTACGATTTTTTAGTGAGATACATTCCTTAATTATATTACGTGAGGTACAATGCCTTCAAAATATCATAATATGATAGAATGACAGATTTCATAATTATTTTAGTCCTAAATTTTAATACTAATAAATATATATATTATAACAGAATGCTCGCCATTAGTATTTCAGAAACTACGACAGTTATGAAATTTGCTTTAATGGGACAAAGTTGACACTATAAATTTGATGTTTGTTGTGTATATATTGTTACGGATGCCGCGGATACTTATACACGATAAAATATTTAAAATTATTTATTATAAGACTATAATTACAATGAACTAACTAAATATAACGCACTAACAATTAAAACAACGCTTTGTTCGATTTCTGGTTGACTTCAAAACTTAAAAACTTTACGCAATTCCGCGAAAAACCGTAGCGGATATTTCTCGTCCCTTCTAGATTATTCTTTTTGCTCCAAACTAAAAAATTATTTTAATTTTATCCGGGGTTTCCCACATTGTCCAAGAAATAGCGCACAAGAAGATGCTTTACAGGTCGTACCTACCTCATTTTATCGAAAGATATCCTGACAACGATCTTGACAATATTATTGGTAAATAAAGTTGTACTTTTAGATACAATTGTTTTTGGATATCATATAGAGGGTGTTCAAATAGCCACATGACTTAATACACTGCAATAGTTTACTATTTATTTTTCACAAGCTAACTTTGAGATAAAAAAAAAACCTAGTGTAAAATAGTGAATTTAGAAACTGCCTTGTCTCCACACATTTCTTTCTGCATAGAGAACTGATCGATAGATGGGAAACTTTCTATTTTTTTAATTAAATATTAATTTCTTAAATTTTTTATGTATGTATTTTTAATAAATAACATATAAGAATGAACCCGACAGAAATTAATCATATATCATTTCATACGCCACTGCGTTGTGACGTTTTTCTTTCGAACTTTTTGCTATATCACTAACAAAATTTCCGAGCAAGATATGAGGATGTCTCTCTAATACAGGCATAAATTACTGACCATTAGTTCTGACATTTCTTGGCATTGCTTTAAATAAACCTATATAACATGTTTCCGCACGGACAGCACGAAAGGCACGCCTAAAAATATAAGAAAAATAAATAAACCCAGACTGGTCTGCTGTTATTTATATGCTGTAGTGCAACCTAAAAAATATTTAATTGGTCTTTTATGAAAATTCACGATCCATAAAAAATAATAAAAAATATTGTACATATGTATATAGACAGTATCCATTACTATTTGCATCATCAAAGAACATAGTGTTATAAAGCTTCTGGCGTTCTTTTCATATTTTAAAATTATATTTGTATTTGCTTAGTATAAATTTTATTTAGAAAAAACAACAACAATAGAATGATTAAATATATTTTAACTACTCTAATTTAATTCAGTATCTTGATGATAGTATGTAATATTAGTTATTTAGTCAATCACTGTTAGACATACATAACACAAAAAGTTCTATTTATTTTAGAATTAATTTTAACTAAAAAAGGCATTAAATTTATATATGTATAAGATATTTCGCAATCTTGCATAACATAAATGATTATGATACGCATTTCATTTTATTACAGAATTGGTCATTGGAACTGATCATTACGAATTACATTAAAAAAAGAACAAAAAATTATGAATAAGAATGTGAAATTTGCAGATCTCCCTCTAATTATCCTTATTATTTTGTTATATATATATTCAAATATCTTCAAATATATCATCAGAGTCATAGAAAAATAAAAATGAAATTAATATTTTCTTGAATTCCAAAAATCTTCGGAAGTATTCAAAATTTTTAAACATTTAAGGTCGAATTTTAATCCGCATCAAATTGCGCAATATTAACCGTAAGTTAGAGGCAGTTAACAATCCATAAAAACATTGAAAATGACCTGGCTTCAGTTCTAGTTGCATATAGTTTAGAAACCCCCAGTCTCTGTAGTATGCCTCTCTGACTCTACATATTTGTGACAATTTTTTGTTCTTTATTTATACCAAAATATCGTAATCTTAAATCATATGTACAGTATAAACAGGGTGTTCAAAATTCTACGCTAAACTTTCTGCAATATAAAATGATTTTTCTTCGTTATTTTAAATAGAACACCCAGTATATTATACTTTTAATAGATGGAGAATTAAAAAATGAACATTTTTTTTATTTAAAGTATTTCAAAATTTTTAATAATTTCGCAGATACAGGCAGTATTATTTCATATATATCTTTCAAGGGTACAATACAAGAGAAAATCGTTGGGTGGCTTTGATAAAAATTTACTGTGGAAAATACCATATGAAATATAAAACCGCGAATATCTGTGAAACCATATTTTGGAAAGCATAGCGTAGTATTTTGAACAACCTGTATGATTTACAATTACCATATTTATAGCAAAGTAAGTACATCTAAAGAAAATACCTAATTAATAATATAGTTTTTATTTCAGTACTCGTATTTTTAAGAATTTTTTTAAGGCTGAAAAATATATATTTTTTATTTATTAATAGCTTTGAAACTATCAAAATGTATTTACTCATATCTTAAGATTATGTAAAGTAATCTAAATGGAAGCCAAAATGCAATAATATACAGGGTGTTTGATTTAAATAAAAATCATCCTGATCCACTCTCTCTCTCTCTCTCACACACACTTTTTTCAACCACACTACAGAAGTTATAATATTCTCCTGAAATACATCCTAACATACTTTTTAAAGGTTTGCTTTTAAACAAAATTCCCAAGTGTTTTTATTCTAGGAGCTACAGATGCCCAACGCACTATTTCCGAACCCTGTATGTATACCCACATACGCTCCAGGATTCTAACCTCTACCAAACATATGTTATTTTAGTTTTTTCTATACAAGTTTCACTTTTGTTAAAGGGGTCACCAAACGAGGAAAAGTATGAAACAGCCCCAAGCACAGCAACAGGATGACAAAGAACCCACCAGGGAGGAGCTGGAGAACGAGTTTCGATTGGACGATCCAGGTAAACTTAAATTAGGAAACGGATTTGAGCGAAATTTATTTCTGGACGGTCCTATTACATTATCGGATCAATTCTATCTTCCGTTAGATTTTTACGATAGAAAATCTTTAAATTTATCAATAACATGAAATATTAAAACCCTAGCCAATTATATTTAAGAATTCAAATTTAAATAAATACGATTTTTTAAATTAAAAAAGAACAGGGAGAGATGCAGGAGACAAAGCAAAACCTTGAGCAAAACTAAACATATGTCAACATAATGTCAACATGCAATATGTTAAAAAGTGTTTTTTTTTTTCAAACGTCAAAAAAGTATTAATTTTTGCGACGTGATTGACAATATAATAAACCACTAAAACCACTGGATCCTTTGAGGGTTTAATCTAGTGTTATGTTACTATAGGGTTATGTTACTCTATTATGAAGATATTAAGTTTTTCAACTAACAATTAAAAAAATTTCAAATTATTCCAAATTTTCCAAAAAAAAATCACGAAGAAAACCTCATAGACGTGTTTCTGGGATCGAAATATACTACCCCTGAAATATTTGCACTTATTTAAGACTCACCCTGTATATGTTGTTGGTTATGGAACTTTGTACAAATAAAACATGACAAACCGTTTTTTGGCACATTATTTACTTCAAGTCTTCAATTATTGCTGTATTTTCTTGGTTATTATTATGTAGTATGGTTAGTAAGTAAAGTCTTTATCATATTTTTACCCAGGTAGCTGTATCCATCAGATATCCATTTTTTTTATACTACTGATAAAGACAATGTAGAAGAAGATGTTGACACTGTTGAAGAACAATACGATATGTTCTTCCAGAGAACAAATGCGGACAATATACAAAAATATCCAATATCAGATAAATTTCTTTTATAGAGAGCATGACATAAATTAGTTGGATCCCGCAATATCGAGAAAATTCTTTGCATTTTTCTCTGCAAAAGAACTCTGCTTTCTTTTGTTAACATAAGGTCAAATAAGAACCATTTGCTTGCTAAGATCTTTACAATCACTCTATTTACTGTATGTAGTCTTCCCTATGTCAGTTTTATTTAAATTATTGACAATTTTTGTATTATAGTCGTATTCTACAATAAAAAGTAAGAAATTAGTCTTATAGCCAATGTTATGATTATAACTTTCTGGAAATATTTCTGAATATGTAAACGTTTAAACGTCCTAAATGAAAATTATAAAAACTAATCCCAGGGATCATTAGATAACTTAATTTCATTTTTTTTTGCTCTCATTTTCACTTCGAAGGCGTTCAAGATAAAGCTCGTAAAAGATGCTATAAAGTTAAATAAGAAAGCGATACATTGTATTTTAGTATTAACCTTGTGGATGCAGCTAAAATGAATGGCTGATACAACAGAATACAATGTCATGCAAACAGAGTTAAATTCTCTTTAAAAGAAAATTAATAATTTATAGATGATCCAAAGACTCATTCATAGGGGCTGAAACGGGGTAGCAGAATTTATATGAAAATTGGTATTCTTGAACAAATTTGCTTAAAACTTAGTAGGTATGTAAACTTGGCTAATGTTGAAAAGGGCCGAGTTTTCAACATTGATATGGAGTGAAAAGTGCCTGTAATATTGTGAAAATCATCAGAAAGCTAAATCATGAGAATCATCTAACACGAGACATACCAACACCAGGAGGCATTAGACAAGATGACAGCCTTAGCCCCTTCTTATTCAATCTTTTAATGGACATCATCATAGAAAAGGTGACCCGATGAATATCGGTTATCTAATGGACACAACATAGTTAACATTGTGTGTTATGCTAATGTTGCAGCCATTATCGCAGAAACAGAGGACGATATGCAGAGACAGCTTCATAAATTCTATCAAGCAAGCCGAGAATTAAATATGATTATTTCTACAGAAAAAAACCAAATGCTTAACTTTCTCTAAAGAGCCTGTAAGATGCAAACTGGTAGTAGAAAACAAAATGATTGAGCAAGTATCACAGTTTAGATACCTAGGAATAGATATGTCGTACTACCACGATCCAGAGAAAGATCTGAGAAGCCAAATAAACAAAGCAACGGCCATGTCAGGATATCTGAGGCAATTAATGTGGACAAACCCCTTCATACGAACAGACAACAAAACTCAAATTTATAACACCTGCATCAGACCAATAATGACATATGGCATAGAAATCCGAGAGGAAAGAAACAAAATCAAAAGCATGTTAAGAGTAGCTGAAATGAAGAATATAAGAACCATAATGGAGAAGGCTAGAAGAGACAGAATTAGAAACACAAATATCAGACAACAATGTGGAATACAGGTCGTAGTGAGATGGGGTAGGTAAAGAAAAAGACAATGGTTCGCACACGTGAAACGCATGGAAGAAAACAGACTACCACGCATAGCTCTTGAAGGGAAACCCATGGGTAAGAGACAGCCGGGAAGACCTCCAAAAAGATGAAAAGACAGTTGGCAGTCCATCTCCCAAGAACTTCTACAGGGGCAACCTTAAAACTAACAGATCGACTAGATCTGAAATAAGTAGTAGAAGGAGAAGAAGATATGGAGTGTAAAAGTTTATATGCGAAATTAAATTAAAAAGAAAAGTTGAAAGAACTTTATTAAAAACACCTTGTACCAATAAGAAGTAATCTTATGTTTATGAATATTTTTTTAATTATTTTGTGCACTTATATTTCGCAATCTTGCATAACATAAATGATTCTGATACGCATTTCATTTTGTTACAGAATTGGTCATTGGAACTGATCATTACGAATATATAGTTAATATACTAAAGAAGTAAATTGTAATTTTGAGATATGTTGATCAGCTTGAATGTTGAGGTGATCCAATATTCTTAAAAGTTTTATTTGTTCTAACTTCCAACAATCCTTCCTCGTCACACTCGCCATTACAATGGAATAACTTTTACTGGCAACCTTTAGTAAATGTTACTTTCACTAGTAAATGTTAGAAATTACTAGGAAAAGTCGACAAATCTCTTTAAAATATCACATTCACTGGTCCAGTGCATAATTGTTAGCATTTCCTAGTGAATGTTAACAATCAATGAATTTCCGACTTTCACTGTAACATATATAAGGATTTTTTTTCTCCATAACTTAATCGGTACTTACTTATACTTATTCTCCGCAAATTATAATATTCAACAATATCATGTACAGGGTGTCCTATTTTCGTGTGTGTTGGATGGTTTCTCGTTCATGATTAAAGCTACAAAGATGCGGTTTTCACATAACTGCTACTTTTTTACGAAACGAAAGATGCTGCACACAAATTTGTGCTAGCCCTCTTAGTTCCTGAAATACAGATAACTGTCAATACTGATAAATAAAAATAAAAAAAATTAAATTTGTGGTTAAAGTCTCTTTTTTGCTGGTAAAGCTAATCTGGACGCGGCTACTTTGTTTACGCGGAAGTCGAACCGCGGTCATCGGCTAAATCATGGTCAATGGCCTACCGATTTGGCAAGTGTCTAAATCTACTCTTACTCACGAGATACCTGATCTCATCCGGTCTTGAACAGTCGCGAAGAGCAGTGTGTGTCAATAGGTTTTACACTCTTGCCCATGGAACAACAGCATGACAAAATTTCCAAATGTTCACCCGTTCACCCACTTGTATCGTCTAATGTCGCTTAACTTCGACTATCGGGAACCGACACGCGATGTTTCGACGTATATTTGATGCTAATATATGTATATTTGATATTTGATACCAATTAAACTTTTAGTTACCTAATCGAGGGCGCGAATTTTAAATTCATTGGTGCCTACAATGAACATATTCGACACCGGGTTAACTAAGTGGAATTTAAATTTTCCGCTAGGGGTAGCTCTGCTATAAATAATGTCAAGTTGCTACGTTTATTTATTTATTTCCTGACATTGCCATTAGTTTTGACAGTTTAGTTTTGGATTACGAGTTTTTGGTTTAAATAAATTGTGTTTGTGACACTTTAAGCTTAAAAATGTTTACTAACAGACTTTGCAGTCGAACATTGTTCTTTTTAGAACCTCTTTTAGTGCGAAGTGGTACAAGTTAGCTTAATAGCCAATATTAATAATAGCAAGAAAGCGGTAATGCTTTAAGGGCTCTTAATGTCCCTTAAGTGCTGTTAAGAAGATGAGTTTTGTTGATGTAAATAATAATTATTTATATATTTATAGTTAATTTATTTTTGTTTCCTAAAATATTTTGATTAAAATAGGTACGAATTTTAATGAAAATAGGTAAAAGTGGGCAACGCTGTACTGGTCAAGCTTAAACACGTGTCAAAAAGTTTATGATATGAACTATAGTTGGGTCGTTGCCCCAAAAATAAAATATTTGATATATCCCTACACCGAAAATATAATAAACGAACATTGAAAAAGTAGTAAAAAGAAAATTTACGACAACCATACAACAGAATTAATTTAAAATGAAAGGCTATTTGTGAGATCTGGTTTAATCCTAATGTTATTTGATCGCGCAGTATGACATTTAATCATAATAATGAAATTGAAATGCATAAAACTCGTCGAAATGTTTCCATATTCATTTTATCATATTTTATATTCCATCCTATTCGTTATATTTCCTCTAAAAGATATTTCAGTGCTGTGCACTTTGAAATGGAAAATAAAATATTTAAGATGCAATTTTCTGCAATAAAAAATGAGCGGAATATTTGAATTGATTTAAAGGCAGAAGACTGAGAAACTCAGCGAAGAAAATATATAATTACAATGAAAAAATAAATGGATAAAAATTAAAGATTTATTTCAGGCTATCGCCATGTGAAATTATGAATTATTAATGAATTCTGTTTAGTATTTATAAATTATTAATACGGATTCTAACTTTTTTACCAAAAGTTAGAATCCGTATTATATTAATAGTAAGTTAAAGTATATATGTACTGAAAAATCAATTCATTTGATGACGGTAAAAGTAAGAGAATCCATTTCACTAGTCCGAAAAAGTAGCA